AGCCTGGCCGCAACATCACTACCGCCTGCTGGAACGCACACCGCGCTGGCCTCACCAGGAACCTACAGCCAACAACAGAGGGCACCCCTGCCGCAGCCGAGAGGGACTCCACCCCCAGAAAAGATCACTCAGCACTCAAGTAAGTTAACAGGATCCCCCCACAGGAGGACCCCCATAGTATGGATCCCAAACACTGCCACCAACACTAGGGGAGGGAATTTTTAGACCCCAGTGGCTAGGGGCAAGTCAAACAACAAGGGGTATTTTTAAGGAGGACCAACCCCATATTCTCAGATTACCTGTAGCCGTGTTTCCCTCAGAACTCCAATTCCCATGCAGCAGTTCAGTACTTACACTGAACCTGACCCAGTTGGTCCTGCTTATGCAGGCTGTTTACTGGGTCCTTCAAATGAAGAGAGGCTTAACTTCATTTGGAACGAACCCACGACAAACGTAGGAAGGTGGCCATAAAATAAAATGTAAAAAGTCCTGTAGAACTTGCTAAGGACAGGAAAAAAGACTGAGTTGTAAGGGGAGTAGGGACTCTTTATACCCATCAGTCTAATTCATCTAATTAATTCCTGTCCTGTGACTGCTAAGGGAGGAGCTACCCATAAGTGATGCTGCCATGATTAGCCAGGAAACTATGGTGCAACACTTGTAATATAAACAATTATGCTCTATACACCATTTATTATAAATACAATGTCACTCAAGTGAAAGTGCACTGTGCACAAAGTGTAAAAAAGTGTAGAAAAACAAAAAATACTTTTACAACAGTATGCAAATACAAACATCTGACTACTCTTTAGTAGTAAAACGATATCCTTATACATGTACAGGATAAAAAGGCAAGGGGAAAAAAGAGGGGGAGAGAATAAAGTGTAAAACTGTATGAATACTGGTATAATTAAAAAATGAGAGATATGCATTCACAAGTGTAGAGCAGATGAGTCTGCTCTAACTGTAAGAGCTCCACACATAAGGGAGCATAGCTTTAGGCCAAGATAGCCACCATGGGCTTTCAGGACGCTCCTTTGCGCTCAATGGAGCACAGAGCACTCGACAGGGAGATACCCAGAAACATCATGGAACTGTACAAAAGATCAGCAAACGCCACAATCCCATGAAACCTATTGCTAAACTAATTATCAGCCAGACACAGAGGTTACAACACAAAATATCATCAAAAACATAACAAAAACCCACAGGAATCCCACAAATTATACATCCCCGGATAACTGATCCGAGTGTCCAAGTTAACAAAATAGAGTTTGGATACATGCAGAATTGAAGAATCGCCACCAGGATAAATATTTGATCGGCCGCTGGCAATGTCTATGCCCAAAAGAGTTCCAGGATGAATGGGTCTTTGGTTGGTCAAATATCGGAAGCTCCTGTGGACTGAAAAAGAGGCGCTCCCCCTGTCTTCCAGGGAGCAATTGTTCATAAGAGTCTAGTATATTCTGGGCAAGTGGGGGAAAACCGGGATGGAAGTTAGTTGGGTACAGAGACCGGTTGCATGCCAGGCCAGAGTTCAGTAACTTTTGGGTGTAAGTCCTGCGCCATAGTTTTTGCATCTCTCTGCATCCTGTAGGCAGGAGGCAAGAGAGGCGCTCTCGGTTGGTAACGTGGAGGACAGGTGGGGAGAGCCGGGGGTTTGGGACATCTTTGGGAAAGGATATGAGTGATTAGGCCCTTTCTGGGAGTGAGGTGAAAGGTTGTTCCTGGTATGGGCATAAGTGACTGGGAGTTCCATCACAAAGGATATGGCACTATAAAAATTGCAGAAATAACAAATTTAACATGGTGAAGTAAAGATTTATTTACAAAGTAACATTTAAATCTATTTAGTAAAAAAAAATATATATATATTTTAAAAAAGGCACCTCGGAGGAGAATATGATAACAGTAAACAAATTGTTTGTAAATCTATTCATTAGAGGTCACCCATTTACACTGGAAGAAAGGCAATGCAAGAACAATAAAGATGCTGAATTCTCTGCCTGTAGAGGTGCTTTTTTTTTTTAAAGTATGTAAATATTTTTAAATGGCTACTGGATGAATTCTTGCCAAAACATAATATTCAGACATATCCTATTTTATATTTTGGTAACGGTATCTTGATCCAAGGAGTGATTGGACTGCAATTATAGGGGTTGAGAATGATTTTTTCCTAGTTTGTTTGAAAATGGGTGTTAATTTGCCTTCTTTTGAATCAACAGTAGAAACAGATGTGAGAAAGGCTGAACTTGATTTTCAGCCTTTGTTAACTATCATCCAAGAAAATAGAGTTCTTTTTTGGCACTGCATGGAACTGATAAAAAGGCATCCAGTGCGCGTTCCAGAATGAAGATGCACACAGCGAAAAGAGCCATGTGACCATGTATGGCCAGAGGAATAGATCCCCCCTCTCCCCTGGAAACTTTAGCTCCCTCTCCTTGTCCCTAGAAGAAACAAACAAGTGAGTGCTTAACCGATTATCTCTTAAAGCTGGGCCATGAGGGTTTTTCTTGCTTTTTATGGTTCATAGGGGAGGAGAGTTGCTTTAAGACTCTGACGCTCCTTTCAGAAGATGGACAAATGCCCCAATTGTATGTTCTGCCACGAATGTGCAATCCAACATCTCCAGGTAGTGCATCTATGCCATTTTTCGCACAGACTGGGCGGTAGTTACATAAGCGTGGAACACGGGCATCTTACATGCATTCCAGCAATTTGAAGAGGATGAAGCCAAGCCCACGAACAGAGCTGGTCTTCAAGCAAGCAGTGCCCTCCCAGGGTGCAGCTGTCACACCTTGCCTGAAAACATAAAAAATGGAGACCTACCTCACAATTGGGGCAATTTGGACTTTGTGGGGTTTTACAGTCTAAATAGGAGGTTGCGCTTAACGGTTAAAAGTTTCTTATAGAATTCTGCATGCCTTTTGCCTGAAGGAGATGGTGATATCTCTAATGCTGCACTGCTTCAGGTGGGGGGAGGGGCAGGACATGGTATCTACAAGTAACATAAATTAGCTTTGTCAGGGTGAGGACACCGGGTCAACAACAAAGCAAGCAGAGTCATAACTGAAGAATTTCCAACCATACAGGTTATACTCTGAAAATTAGAATATCGTGCGAAAGTTCATTTATTTCAGTAATGCAACATAAAAGGGGAAACTTATATAGGAGATAGACGCATTACATGCAAAGCAAGATAGTTCAAGCCACGATTTGTCATAAGTGCGATAATTATGGCTTACAGCTCATGAAAACCCCAAATCCACAATCTCAGTAAATTAGAATATTGTGGAAAGGTGCAATATTCTAGGCTCACAGTGTCCCACTCTAATCAGCTAAGTAAGCCATAACACCTGCAAAGGATTTCTGAGCCTTTAAATGGTCTCTCAGTCTGGTTCAGTAGGAATCACAATCATGGGGAAGACTGCTGACCTGACAGTTGTGCAGAAAACCACCAATGACACCCTCCATAAGGAGGGAAAGCCTCAGAAGGTGATTGCGAAGGAAGTTGGATGTTCCAAAAGTGCTATATCAAAGCACATTAATAGAAAGTTATGTGGAAGGGAAAAGTGTGGAAGAAAAAGGTGCACAAGCAGCAGGGATGACCGCAGCCTCGAGAGGATTGCCAGGAAAAGGCCATTCAAAAATGTTGGGGACTTTCACAAGGAGTGGACTGAGGCCGGAGTCAGTGCATCAAGAGCCACCACACACAGAAAGATCCTGGACATGGGCTTCAGATGTCATATTCCTCTTGTCAAGCCGCTCCTGAACAACAAACAATGTCAGAAGCGTCTTACCTGGGCTAAAGAAAAACAGACCTGGTCTGTTGCTCAGTGGTCCAAAGTCCTCTTTTCTGATAAGAGCAACTTTTGCATCTCATTTGGAAACCAGGGACCCAGAGTCTGGAGGAAGAATGGAGAGACACACACTGCAAGATGCTCGAAGTCCAGTGTGAAGTTTCCACAGTCTGTGTTGATTTGGGGAGCCATGTCATCTGCTGGTGTCAGTTCACTGTGCTTCTTTAAGTCCAGGGTCAACGTAGCCATCTACCAGGAGATTTTGGAGCACTTCATGCTTCCTTCCGCAGACTAGCGTTATGGGGATGCTGACTTCATTTTCCAGCAGGACTTGGCACCTGCCCACACTACCAAAAGCACCAAAGCCTGGTTCAATGACCGTGGGATTACTGTGCTTGATTGGCCAGCAAACTCACCTGACCTGAACCCCATAGAGAATCTATGGGGATTTGCAAAGAGAAAGATGAGAGACATGAGACCGAACAATGCAGAAGAGCTGAAGGCCGCTATTGAAGCATCCTGGTCTCCCATAACACCTCAGCAGTGCCACAGGATGATAGCTTCCATGCCACATTGAGGCAGTAATTGCTGCAAAAGGGGCCCAAACCAAGTACTGAGTCCATATGCATGCTTATACTTTTCAGAGGTCTGATATTGTTGCTTGTTTTATTGATTGCATGTAATATTCTAATTTACTGAGATTGTGGATTTGGGGTTTTCATGAACTGTAAGCCATAATCATCGCACTTATGACAAATCGCGGCTTGAACTATCTTGCTTTGCATGTAATGTGTCTATCTCATATATTAGTTTCCCCTTTTATGTTGCATTACTGAAATAAATTAACTTTTGCACAATATTCTAATTTTTCGAGTATCACCTGTATGCTGAGCAGACAAACAGGTGAAGAAATCACAAAGTGTTGAGACACAGTTGATGCACATTATGTGAGAGATACACTTTAGGCAAAGGCATTACATCAATAAATGAGATCATCAGGTACCGTTTCAGATCCCTTCAGTTGGAGATATTAAAAGACAAAAACAAAAAAACACCCAACATGACTTTTTAGCAATTGGACTTAAACTGCAATACAAAATTAAAATACAAATATCCAACATAAAAGTACAAACCAAACATAGTAAATTTAAGCTCTGAGCCTCAATCCTATGGCTAGAACAAAAAACAACCCCAAAATGATTTTTTTTTACTTTATTCTTATCCTTTGTGCAATATACATATATATATATTATAAAAAAAAAAAAAAGTTTAGATATACAAATATACATATTTTCACAAACTTTTTGTGTTCTTACTGTCCTGGTCAATGGAGTTAACAGGGGAGCAATTTCTATTCCTTTACAGCGTAGCATTCCATCTGGGCAACATACACCACATGAGGCCTTCTTCAGCACTTACTGCTTTAACGAAGGTTACATCAAATGAAATTAAAATACTATACAGCAATGACTGGAAAGAAACAATCTAAGTGTTATGCTTATCTGCTTATTGCAGATTTGTATTGTTTTGCATAACAATTCTAAGAGTTTCTGTCTATATATTGTGGTTTTTCCTTTTTTCAAGATATGGTATGTAAATTCAGGGATTATCTCCCTTTTAAAGGGACACTCCAGGCACCCAGACCACTTCTGCCCATTGGAGTGGTCTGGGTGCCAACTCCCACTACTCTTAACCCTGCAACTGGAATTATTGCAGTTTTTTATAAACTGCAATAATTACATTGCAGGATTAACTCTACCTCTAGTGGCTGTCTGCTAGACAGCCACTAGAGGGCACTTCCTGATTCATAGCAAAGATTTTCTTTGCTAGAGCGTCGCTGGACGTCCTCACGCTGTGTGAGGACCCCAGCGTCGCTCAATTCCCCATAGGAAAGCATTGAAAATCTTCTTCAATGCTTTCCTATGGGGAGACCTAATGCGCATGCGCGTCATTGTCGCACATGGGCATTAGGTTTCCTCAGCCGGCGGGTGGGATCAGTCTCGCCCACCGGCTGACGGAATTACTGGGAGGAGCAACGCCGACCCGAAACCACCGCCAAGGGACATCGGCAGGGTCTAAGGTAAGTGACCTGAAGGGGTTTTCACCCCTTCAGCTACCTGGGATGGGAGGTGGGATGGAGAGGGTAGCTGCAGTGCCAGGAAAACGGATTGTTTTCATGACACTGGAGTTTCCCTTTAAACCCAAATATATCATATAAAACAGTGTGTGTATGCAGGTTTTGTGTTGGTGGACAGCAGTCAACAATAAAGTTACACAGGCAGAACCCACTTAACATACATATGGTATAAGCCATTATACCTTTAATATCCTTGCACTATAAATTAATATGGGCACATTAGAACAGGGTTCAACATTTCAAGTACTACACAGACCTAAATGTTACTCTCCACTAGCATGCAGGGTCCATGGCACACTCACCAGGTATGAACTTTCAATCGTAAAAGGCTTGTACCAGAGTAGGCAACACATCAGTGGAGATGTTGGTCATAACAACTAGAGTGTCAAACCCAGGCTAATATGAGAGTTTTTCAAGTATCTTTCGAACTAATCAGTAAATGGGTTCTAATTGTATCTATATAAGCTGAAGCAGTGATGGAACTTATATGAGTAACCGAAGCTTCCTTGACAAACATGATTGCCGTCTTCGATGTTTAATGCAGTGTGCGAAGTAATGTCACTGTGAGGGTAACTCCATATTCCGGTTGTGAAATGTATGGAACATTTATTTACAGGATTGGAAGTTGTCAAGTCTCAGATGGTGAATCATTAGGTTCCTGTTGCTTGGTGTTACTGGACACACGGTTCACACTACTCTCAATAAAAAGTTTAAGGCCATTCATTCCTTCGCTGTATAGAAAATCCAAATATTTATTCCAATTGTGACCCTGCAGAGAAACACAAACAATAAGATTAAAAAGTTCATGACACCCCATTATTATTTTCATACCCAGTATCATATTGTGCCATACTGGTAACTGCATTCAAACTGGTTCTCCCCTGAGCTATATTTCCCCCAATTTTCTTTTTTATATATTAACTTGGTACACCTGGTGCTGCAATGTTGATTGCTTTTCCTCATTTAAAAAGTGGATTTTTATTGCCTTCTGAATTGTCATAATATTTGTTATATTTTAATTTTACAAACCAAAGGGGGATGGCCAGTGATTACACTGCTAGAAGAGAACCTGTAATATGAAAATACTATTATCTTTTCAGGATGATTTTCAGATATAAGTTACCTTTAAATATATTAACCATGCAAACTGTTAACACACAACATGTGGGAGTAGTTACCTTTATGAGACCGAGTTGAAACATTCTGTGTTCTGGATAGCTCTGTAAAACCAAAAAGAGAAAATTGCATTATTCTACAGGTCTGCGAATTACAAAAATGTGTGGTTATTACAGCCTATAATTTAAAAAAGAACATTCTAGGCAGGAAACACCTCACTTTTACATTTGTTATACAGACAATGTGCTAAATGCTATAGTGCCCATGTCCTTGGTTGTATCTGGAACCCCGGTTTACTTTTTCCAGCGCAGAGACTCCACTTCGACACTGCTCACCTCTCCACCTCCGGCAACGTCATCGAGGAGGTATGCCCTCCTTCCTCAATGGTCCAATCTAAAGTTCCTTATAGAGGAGCATGGTGGACGCACTCAAGCTTCACCATAGCTTTGCATTCAATGCTTTCCTATGAGCTTCCACAAAACGTGAGTTTTATTCTGTCAGTGCAGCAGAAACAGCAGTATGGCAACCATATAGATGGATTTAACCCTGCAATATTAACATTGCAGTTTCTAAAAACCTGCAATGTTTTACATTGTAGGGTTTAAAAGGACAGGACCACTGCACCCAGACGATTTCATTGAGGTAAAGTGGTCTGGGTGATTAAAGTGTACCTCTAAGGTTTCTGCGGCTCCTGAAAAAACAGTAATGCTGAGACCATGAAGATGCTAAATCAATCAGGATGCTCTCATTCTTGGTTAAACCTCTCAGTGTATGTTGCTCCTGCAAATACCATGTGCGTATATATTTATTTAAAATTTATTTCAGCCAATGGCAGCATTTCCAATCATTGCACTGGGTAAGTGGAATTGCTGAAAAAGCATATGAATATAGCCCTCAGAGGCGATACATACGGCCAAAGAGGAGCCATGAATTATATTAAAAAAACAACAACAACACCCAAAACAATATTCTGTCTCCAAGTTTATCTGTCCGTATATCATCATCAGAACATTATCACTGCAAGATGGTCTGCTGACTATACATTGGTTCTAAAGAATTTAACTCTGATCTCATGGTTTAGTACCTACACATGAGTATTAATTGATGAGCTTGTGTTCAGTAACACATACAAATTAATGAAACACCATATAATCTATTTCTGGCACACATCTTAATTGAATATTAATTCTGAGGAATAGGGTTCTAGGCACACCATGTGAAATCCAACTATCAAAGTTGGCTCCTCTATCACACAATTTAAAAACACAAACTATATATAACTAATTAGGAATTGCTTAAAGACAAAAATATGACACAGAGACTAAACAATCCTAGCATCCTATGTTCTGTTACCGACAATAATCCTTACCTGGCACAGGAAGCTGGAAGAGTAGCCAATGAGTGCTGGGTGGAAGACTATGTTGAAGGATTTCTTGAAGGACTGAACACCAGTATGGTAAAGCAAATCGGGTTCTAGCCGGATACCTTGAGGATGTGTATCTTGGCGAAAGGCTTGGGATGTCCAAAGGCAGCCTACCATTGCTGTTAAATACTGGTTATATTCCTGGAATGTACGACTGCTGATATTCAGATAGATCTTATCCTGAAATGTGGGTATGCAAGGGAAAATTTTGTTTTAGCTCTGTCCAGTGTACAGGATATAAAAGAAACTGATTTACAAAACCTGAAATCACTTACCCTTTTATTGAGCTCATTATCTTTTACAGTCACCAAGTTGTTCCTGTATCTGTGAAAGCCAAAATAAATTCAAAGTCAATTAGCACACATTTGTATTGAAACTAGTACTGAACAGCAAAAACAGCATGAATTGTCTACCGAATATATTTAATGTCAATAGTAGATATGTTGATTTTGTTAATAATTTCCAATGATATAATATCCGCTATACCTGTACATGATGTAACAAAGCTGGTCAAGGTTCACAGAATCAGTACTCAGCAAAGCAGGGTAGAACACCCCTGGTGGTGGAAGGACAACGAGCGGCAATTCAAAACGCACGTACATATCACAGACCTGTATGTGGGAGACAATAGATCTTCAATAAAACAGGTTATAAATACCTGGAAACTAAACTATTTTTTTCCAATCCGTACTACAAATACTGCACTACAAACTGTACTTTCAATAAACTGCTTGACAGTTCAGAGTACGATTGTTCAGGCATACAAGCACTTCACAGTCTGCAAGCTACCAGTGTGAGTTTATTAGACCTGTAGTGTAAATTCTTAGCTATTTGAGTATTGATATATATGGCGTTTGGTCAATACACATTTTACTGTTTGATTTTGCTTTGTCATTACAATGGCAACTTGAAATAATGTCAGTTAATGTAACTTACAGCTACACTGAAAGTCATGCTGGACATCATTCTTTGGAACGCATACTGCAGTAGCCTTTTTCTCTTTGCACTGTGTGGAAGGTAACACTGTGCATTGAGAACCAGCTGAAGTATTAATTCGAGCTTCTAATAAAATGTTATAGCAGTAGTTCTTAAACCCTGCGTTGGAAACCAAAACTAGGTCCCTGTGCTACAGCAATTGAGTGTATTCACAAAAGACAACAGAGACACATTATATTTGTATTTGTTCTCTGTAATGTCTCTGAATTTATTTTGTTATATAGAATGTTTTGATGGAAGAATGGGTCACTGAGCTAATGTTTCAGTTAAGGAATGGATTGCCAAGTTAATGTCACACATGTGGCAGGATTAAAAAGGGGGTGGGGGCAGGCTACCAGATTTATAGGACTTCTTCCTTAAGAAGTGATAATGAAGCACCTTGAATATCTTAACCCAATAAGCAGTCCCAAATCAGGAATTTAATTATGATTTTGCCATTAATATCCTAGAGAAAGTCTTACTATCTCATAGAAGTCCAGAATAAAATGTAGAAGGAGCGAGCTGTTCTGCATTTGTAGGGCCAGAGTGGCCAAACGTCCAGTAAACTGTATCAGTTCTTCGACGGAGGTCAGAAAGCCAGACATGGTGGTGTTTCTGGAGAGAAAGAACACAGAAGAGGTTACACAACGAGGGCTTTTTGTTGCAAGATCTTATTCTCCACAAACTGCTCATCACCATCCATAGAGCTAAACTACAAAATGGGGTTTATTACAGAAAACACATTCCTAGTTTATTTCATAGGTCTACACAGATTACCCTGCACAGCAAGGGTTATTCACTAAATTATGAAGCAAAAGCTTCAATTTCAGAGACAGTTTGGGTCAATTTTGAAGAAAAAAATATATAAAAATAGATTACTCTATGTCAGTGGTTACCAACCCAGTCCTCAAGTACCCACTACCAGTCCAGGATTTAGCGATCACTTAGCTGGGTCTCATGTGCTTTCAGTGAAAATAAAACACGTCAGACAACAGAATAATCCATAAATCCTGGACTGGTAGGGGATGCTGGAGGACTTGGTTGGGAACCCGTGCTCTATGTAAAAATCAACCTCTGAACTATTACAGGAAGGTCAGGCAAGATGTTCTCCTTGTCTTTTCAATAACCTTGCAATGTAATGTTTATTTTTACCTTTTAAATCCAGCATAGATAATGATGACAACATATTTTTGTGCATAGAAGTCAGTAAATTAAAAGATGAAATGTATAAAAAATAAATAAAGGTAGGTTATGGAGGACACATGTGTTTAATGGCATGGGCAGATTAGTAAATGTAAGTTATTATGAGGACTGGGTAACTAAGGATACTATTCACACAAGACGGTCTGGTCAAGGGATTGCACTGTTACTAGGCATCCAACGGAAAGAAGGAGTACGTGGTAAGTAAGGCAGGGGAAGGGGAGAGGGAGGGAGCAGGTCCCCTCTAATTGAAAGAAGGTTCACTAAATTCCCACATTTATTTAAAATATAAAACAAACTAAAACTAGTGTGTGAATGAAACCTGTTACTCACTTAGCTCCACCTTTGCTCTGAAGGAATATGGTGTGAAAGTCATTGCACTCGGATTAAGAGGGGATTCAGATGAACCTATTGCTCCCCACCCCCAACCATTATCCACCTACCACCAAAAATTGTAATTTTTGTTAGAGGAGGAGTAAGACACAAATATTGCAATAATTACTTACTTGTTTGTGTCATCTGTATTTATTTTTTCTGCATAAACTGAATGCCAGATGAGCCAATTTTGCAACAACCCCTTCAAACTTTCAAGTATGCCACACTGCAGATAAAACAATTTTAATTCCACAAATACAAAATTAGGCACATTACAAGATTGCAATACCAGATTAATGGTTCTACCACAAAACAATTTTGTGGACATAAAATCTTGTTTGTTTTTCAGAGGGGGAGAGAGAGAAAAATGAAAACATGGGGGGGGGAGAGAGAGAAATAAGGAGAATTGAGAAGAAGAGAGAGAAAGATAATGGGGGAGGGAGAGAGATAAGGGGGAGGGAATAGAAAGAGAGATAAGAGCATAGGGTGTGAGATAAAAGGGGTGTGGAAGATACAGAGATATGTTGAGATACATAGATTATTTACACTTTCTGGTATCCCTTATTGTCATTAGACTAAATAGTAAGCCAACAAATAAAGTATTGGAACAGGGAAACAATCTGCTTTTCTCTATAGAGAACTGCTTAGTTTGCCCATGGATCCCTACATCATTAACGTTAGCAAAACCTACAAGAGTGAAGGTGCACCTAAGTCACAGTTTTGGTAAAAGTACCACCGGTATGTTTTGTTTTACAAACATAAATTTGTGAAGTAAGAAATGGCATTATCTGAATGGATGTGTATGTTTGAAAACCAGTATTCATGGTTTGAATGCGTGAAAAGCTTAATCCACTGAGTTATGCTGATGGAGTAATTTCTCTTATACTCTATTAACAGGATATAATATAAAAGGCTGGCGTGCCTACACATCTTCGACAGTCAAATCTGAAATGTTTGCCAAGATGACTTTTCAGACCAAACATCACCAGTCTATTGTCTCGAGAACAATATGCTGCAGACTGAAAATGTCAAATTACATTTAGCCCAAAGTACCACTGGTATTGGGGCCATATTATGCTTTATTTAAGATTTAATGTGAGTTTTATGATTGAAACTAACCGGATTGGATTCGATTCTTATAATTAGCGTAAACGTAGAAATCTGCACATAGTAACTGAAATATAAATCTTAAACTATTACCCACACAGAGTAGCAATGCAAACCAGTTAACAAACAGACTTACTTGGAAATACAAGGAGGATGTAGCAAATAGCAAAGCTAGTGGTTCATAAAGCAATGCTTCTGACTCTGAAAATAAATTAATTTAAAAACAAACGTTAAAAAGTTGTATAAGTTAACTCACTGCTGTGCCAAAGTAACAAAGTGTCTACCTATGCTTAAACAGGCTGTGACAAAATAACTAAAAATTTGTGTCTATTTTATCCAAACTATACTATGTTATGTTAGAGGAAACAATGCTATCCTTTTCATAGCTTTATATGAAACAAAGAATGTAAGGCTTACAGAGAGCAGATAGAACCTATATTTCTAATGTTTGAATTTCCTCCCGCATGTTTACATATTGGGCTTCGTCGTCTTTAAGCATGAAATAGGCAGTTTTGTTTTCAAAATAATGTAATGTAAATGTTATAGAGCAGCAGGAAATGCTAGCAGAATGCTTGGTTGTATAGGGAGAGGTATTAGTAGTAGAAAGAGGGAAGTGCTCATACCATTGTACAGAGCACTGGTGAGACCTCACTTGGATACCGTATCTCCAGAAGGATATTGATACTTTAGAGAGAGTTCAGAGAAGGGCTACAAAACTAGTTCATGGATTACATGATAAAACTTACAAGGAAAGGTTATAGGATCTTAACATGTACAGCTTGGAGGAAAGATGAGACGGGGGGGATATGATAGAAATATTTAAATACATAAAGGGAATCAACACAGTAAAAGAGGAGACTATATTTAACCCCTTAATGACTGGACTGTTTTTTCGATGTTGTACATTTGCGACCAGGTCTCTTTTTACACTTTTGTGGTGTTTAGCTGTAATTTTCCGCTCTCTCATTTACTGTTCCCATACAAATTATATATTGTTTTTTTCAGGACAAAAACGGGCTTTCTTTACATACCATTATTTATATAATCTCATGTAATTTAATTTAAAAAAAATAGGATGAAAAATTTTAAAAAATACATGTTTTTTGACTTTTACTTAAAAAATCTTTTACTCATCTACAAAAGCGAATGAAAAAAAACTGCTAAATAGATTCAAAATTTTGTCCTGAGTTTAAAAATACCCAGTGTTTACATGCTTTTTTTTGCAAGTTATAGGGCTATAGGTACAAGTAGGATATTGCGGTTTCAAAACATACATTTTTAAAATTTATCAATAGTGACATTGTAACACTTATCTGTCATAAATCTCTGAATAACACCCCACATGTAAATTTTTTTTTTTTTTTTTAATTCTTTATTTTTGTGTGCAAGATTTCACAAATGAGCCGTGGTGCCACAATAGCAGTCACGTACACAATTACAACATGTATTTCACATATGGCACATTAATGTCTGCACAATTTTTATAATGGTAATAGTAGAGTATTAAGCTTAAGCAAGTGGTGCTCCCTTTATAATCATCGCCAGTATTGACAGATTTGACATCTGGAGCATGAATACAGATATAGTTGAGATTACATTAAGTTTCACTGAGATTTGCCTGGTTAATAGTTACACGTGTACAGGTTCTAAGCAAATGGTTGTACGGTTTCTAGCGTATCGTTTGGGCAAAGTGGTTTAACTCTAGCTTGGTCTACCTCGGGCGCCATCATGGATTGTGTGGTGTTAGTCTGCCTTCACTTTTCCAGACAGGTCTGGGGTCTTCTTGGTTAGTATCAGATGAGTTTGTCAGGGCTTGTGTGTATTGTAGGTGCCTGCGGTAGTGTGTGTCTGTCTTGAGTAGTGTCTTGGTTTGTGCGTATGTGTGTCTCTGCCTGTTTTGTGCTGGTTTGTTGCTGTGTCAGTCCTGGTGTCTGTGCGTCTGTTGGTACCGTTTTGTTTCAGTATGTGTAACACTGGAGCAGCGTCTGAGTGACCAACATAGAGTCCAGAAAAAGCGTCTAGCCTTTGTGTTGGGCATATAGTGTCTCTGGGGACCCGGTAGAAAAGTCCCAGCAGGCTTCTCTCGTAGCCGTGGGCGCTCCTGGGGGTCTGCTTCTGCGGCTCGTGGTTTGAGTGCTTTCTTTGAAGGCCGCATAGGGGCTGGCATGGAACCCAGTATGGCGCTTCCTCCTGTGCTTTCGGGTCCGCTGCGACTGGAGCAGACGTTCGAGGTTGAAGCTTCTGGGCGGCCGCAGTCTGTGAGTGCTTGTGCGATAAGGTTGCATGGTGTGTGTACCACTGGCGTCCGGGGAGAATTCCCTCGATTCCCGCTCTTTGTCTTCCGACATACAGCTGCTTGTCGGTGTTTCTTGTAGCTTAGGGTAGGTTGTAGGTTTGCGGGCTGCCAGCCAGTACTTCCACTTCATGGTCCCTGCAGGACTTGGTGGGACATTCTTCGTTTGCCCATGAGGTTGCACGCTGTCCGCCATTTTGGAGCGCTCCGTCCAGCTTGTGCTCTGCGGCCCTGTCTGCGCTTGGGCTCGGCAGACGACATTGGTGGTCGCCCGTGGGGACCGGGATAACCCCCACCGGTCCAAAGGGGGGGGGGAATCGCAGGACGCCGATCGGAGACCCGGGGGGGCGGCCGTCCCTCCCCGGCTCAAGCTCTCGTAGGCCCCAGGCCTTGGTCGGGTTACTCCGGTGCTGTACCATATTGTGTGTGGTACCATCTTGTGTGTCCCCATCTTGTGGACAGTTTGGGGTCCAATTGGGGTTAGTAGCGGCTTGTGGCACTGAGTTGGCTCCGATTCTCTGGCCCAGATCCTGGAGCTCAGACGAGACATGTCTGATCTGTTCAGCAGTCAGGCTCTGCCCCCCCCTACATATTTTTTTTAAGGTAGACAACCCTGGGTATTCAATATGGGGTATGTCCAGTCTTTTTTAGTAGCCACTTAGTCAAAAACACTGGCCAAAGTTAGCGTTCATATTTGTTTGTGTGTAAAAAAAGTAAAAAGCTAAATTGAACGCTAATTTTGGCCAGTGTTTGTGACTAAGTGGCTACTAAAAAAGACTGGACATACCCCATTTGCAATACTTTGGGTTGTCTTCTTTTGCAAATGGTATGCCATCATGGGGGTAATTCACATTCTTGGGCTACCATACACTCTCAAAGGCAACGTAACCAACCTGGCCTTTTTCAATGTAAAAATATTTGACCCATATATTTGACCCTTCAAAAACGCTATAAAACCTGTGCATGGGGGATACGGTTATACTCGGGAGACTTTGCTGAACACATATATTAGTGTTTCAAAACAGGAAAACGTATCACAACAATTATATCATCAGTAAAAGTGCTGTTTGTGTGTAAAAATTAAAATAAAAGTCACTTTCACTGACAATATCATCGCTGTGATATGTTTTACTGTTTTGAATCACTAATATTTGTGTTCAGCGAAGTCTGCCGAGTGAAACAGTACCCCCCATGTACAGGTTTTAGGGTGTCATAGAAAATCACAGGGTAAAATACAGTGCTAGCAAATTAAATTCTCTGGAATTTCGGCCTGGGTTGGCAGGCTGGTCCCTCAAATTGCAATCAATAAAATTACTTAATTATGTAAAAATATTACATAAATACGCACGTAGAATTTAAATATATATGCATATTTATATATTTGAAGTCTACGTGTATATTTATATAATTATTTATGTAATTTTGTATATGGACATATGTATATTTCGTATTATTTTTATTTATATATGCATAGATATATACACACAATTTCATTCTAAGTGTATTTTGATAGTTATATATATATATATATATATATATATATATATATATATTTTACTATCAAAATACACTTAGAATACAATTTCATATAGATATATATTTTGTAAATTTTTGATTATTTTTACATGTTTTTATTTAATTTAAATTACTTATTTGTATTTTATAATAATTTATATACAATATATATACAAACACACGTATAATTTAATTATAAGTATTTTTATATTGATATATATATATATATATATATATATATATATATATATATATATATATATATATATATATATATATATATATATATACACACACACACACACACACACACACATTTTTTATTATTAACATTAGCGTTTATTTATTTTTATGATTTTACACTAGCAGGGAGACTGCCTGTCAGCACAGACAGTCAACCTGCAGGCAGACACATGGACACCTATTGTGACCATGTGATCACTCGGTTGAGCGATCACATGGCCCCAGGGGTCCTAATCCGCCATGGGGAGACTGTCTGGGCTGCAGGCAGTCTCCCCACACCGGGAGCAACGCCGATCGCCGCCGAGGGAACGATGGCGATCGGGTAAGTACATTGCACCGTTAGGATGGTTCAGGACCGTCACCGGTCGGCAATGCAAAAATGCAGATGACGGTCCTGAACCATCCTCGGTCCTGAAGGGGTTAAAAGAAGAAAAACTACCACAACAAGAGGATATAATCTTAAATTATAGGGGCAAATGTATAAAAATAATATCAGGAAGTATTACTTACTGCATGGAACAGCCTTCTAGCTGAAGTGGTAGAGGTTAACACAGTAAAGGGAGTTTAAGCATGCGTGGGATAGGCATAAGGCGTTCCTAGCTATAAGAGAAGGCCAGGGACTAATGAAAGTATTTAGAAAATTGGGCAGACTAGAATGGGCTGAATGGTTCTTATCTGCCATCACATTCTATGTTTCTTTGTTTATAAAAAACAAAATAAAAATAAAATCTCTGCTTGGAAGGGCTCACTGAAGATGTATAGTGCTCATACCAAGGGGGAGGGGAGAGGCAAGCCTAGTATTGGAAGATTTTATTTGTTGCACTTTAATGTATTAGCTGCACAATGTAATGATATTAGGCAAACAGAGACAAAAGTAGGAATATTTCCCATTCTGTATACCTGCGGATGAGTTAACTGGAATCCAGCTGATGAGTTTAAGGATATGAGCACGGTGGCAACCATTCCAATGTGGAAGAGATTTATAAGGAAGTGTACAAGTCTGCATTATATACAGCAAGTGAAAGCAAATTCCATAGCACCCTGGCCAACCAACCACCAAATTGACATTAGAAGGTTACCCTTGTTCATCCCATCTGAAACATCATAGCCTCAAAGTTGGAATAAGAAAACACTCACCTGCAGAAATTGCTGAGTGTCAATAACGGTGTCTAGAAAATCTTCCACATCTTCCTTATTATGGGGCTTCCCTGTGTACCAGGCACATTCTATGGACAAAGAGCATACAATGTAACAAGGGCATTCTTCTCTTATGTGGGACTGATTCTCACATTAGACAGCACAAATATAGTTCTATTCATTTCAGCTAAATGAACACATGGGGATTCATTAATTAATGCAAAAAAACAAACAGAAAAACACCCAAAATGTATAAGGACTTAGAGAAACAAGGCAAACCCTATGATGCTACCATATACTTACAAACTAAATACAGTGGACTATTGTAGAAATGCATTGAAAGTTTATTTTTGAATGTATACTTGCAAACAAATTAACATTTTACAGCATAGCAGGCCTCAAGTCTGTGCAGTATGCAGCCAGTGCTTCATTTTAAAGAACAGCAAAAGTTGTAACGGTATGTCCCTGGTATGTACACTTTCAACTGTACTTAGTCTTGAATACATGCAGTATTCAAATCCAAGCCCCATTAAGCTCACTATTTTAAATATGTGGCCTGGGATCTTCAAAAAACAAAACACCAGCTACTACTTACTTGTAAGCATGAAGTCACACTGACAGAGGGTAAGGGTACCACAGCTTTGAATGCATATAACCTACTTAAAGAGAAGGACTCTCTTTATCACAGGTGTCTTTATCAACGACGTCATGGAAAGAAAGTTTTTTTTTACTGCAGAAATTAACTATTGATTATGTGATTTCCAGACCAAACAGATCATCAATACTTCCTCACTTCTGTACCTTCATGCAATGTGAATGCCAGCCAGTAGTTTAATCGTAAGAATGGCGTGTCATCTTTGATGCAGTTGACATAGTGAAGCAAGAGGGGACTTTTTAACACTGAACCCATTCGAGCAGGGAGCTGGAAATAAAAATGTTAAAAAAAAAAAAAATCTTACATGCCAACTGTTGCTTAAAGACTTAATACTCAAATAGCAATATCATTACCAAAAATAAGAAAAAAGGCAAGCAGCAAAAAATTTAGGATTACCTCAAGCCGGTGGATGTTTTCTAGTAGCTGTGGAAAGGTTTGCAGTTTCTCTAATGGAAAAGTCTCATTAGAGGACATAACATGGTCAATTGTGCCGGGAACTGACTTCCACATATTGCTACATACTGAAGGCGAGAGATCACGGTTCCATTTCTGAGGGAGGTACAAAAAATGTTTATAATCACCAAAACTGCCAGTATGAAACAAAGCTAGAACTTCACTGGCTAATTATCTCATTATAGTCATAATAAACAGAAAAAGTACAAGGTTATACAATACAGGAGCACACTACATAAAAACCAAAATGATCTTTATTAGAAAATCCAAAACAACAATTACACCATAAGTTTACTCAAAACCAGAATACATTCTCAAATAGTATATCATATTAGCAAAATTTACCAAACAGGTAATCACCATACCTATCAATGATCCAAATGTAAGCATAACATGAATAGCATTAACAACTGGATTATACACCGGACAATAGACATACAGTAGTGTAATACGGATGGTCCTAATACCAAAATACCAATACTCCCATTCCAAAATGAAGAAGCTATAAAAGCCTATCTCCACACAAGTGGTATGATCCTGGATTATCTGTCTCTAGTGCAGCAGTCCCAGGTATCAGCCAGACAGTGTGGTTCTGTTAACAAATGCCGCACATTCTATCCGAAATTCCTATGCACATTTAAATAACTGGAGTTTTTTTTTTTTTTTAAAGTATCACTCCAATGGCCATTAAAGTGTAAGCTTTTGTGTGGAGATCTATATCTTCGTTATTGTGCAAGTGTAACATTTTGTTCAACTTCACGTTCTGCACTATAGTTGTACTTTCTTTTTAAATTCAATAATATTTTATGGAGTTCTGGAGTTTCCTGAGGATTGAACCCTGGAGTGGGTGATATGCTATTTTTTTTTTTTCTATTGCTCGTGAGTGCGTTTAACACCACACATTTTCACACACTATTGTATACTATTACCCAATGTATGCTTTTATTTTGTCTGTAGAACCAGTGTTATGCATAATGCAACATCAATGCAAACAAGCCACCTCCACCACAAGAAAATTATACATGTTTTTACTACACCTAAACTTAAGGCTTTGTTCTGCAGATTGCCTTAATATAACATGATTTTATAGCTTATCCTCTTCCAAATGTTTGACAAATGTTTGCACTTTGGCTCTTTTGGCTTAAAAATTTAAATTCACTTTAAATTCCAAACAATTCACACTTGATTGAATATCATTGATAGTTTTACATACCCTGTTCTATATAATGTTACCAAGGCAGTTTAGAGATCTGTACATCAGGGTCATTAAAAGGCCTGTCTGTTACCAATCTATACCCCAATAAACATTAAAAGTAGCAACTTATCAAGGAAATACAAATAGATGAAGTCAACGCGATCAAGGCACACTTTAAAGGTGGCTTGAGGCATTTACACTGCTTGACAAACAACTGCGCTAAATTAACTTAAGAAATTGCACATTTAAGACTAAAATAGTGGAGCTGTATCCGTAGTGGATTCATGCGAAGTTTCCAACCTAAAATTCCTGACTATTCACAGTTTTCTCACTGAGTGTAAAGAACCGGTCTACCAAAAACTGGAGACTTTGAAATCGGATACATCTAACTTATGTTTGGAGAAGATGTACATCTCTGCACAAATCTGCCAATGCCCAAGACATCAAGATGCAAAAAGTGGAGACTTCAACCAATGACTAGCGTTTTTAGACCAAAAGTCCATATTAGCCAAGTTACTATATATTTTTCTGATAAGCTCCCAAAAAATGTAAGTGAACATTTAATTCTTTATTTTCCCACTATCCAAATAACTACTACCCTATTAGTTTTAGTTTTTTCTCTTTTTGTAGTTACATAATACTCGAAGGACACTTAAGGCGATCCACCTACCATTGTTTAATTTTTCTGATGTTAACTTTTCAATCTATATTTTAAAGCAGATTGAAAGATGATGAAAGCAACCTACATGGCATCTCCTCACTTATTTTTTTTCTTCTAAATGTAAAGACACATTTAAGGTTAATCTATAAACATGTGAATTGTTGGGAGCTCAAAATGAATTTTAGGCCAATATAGTCATATCGGATATACACATTATATATATATATATATATATATATATATATATATATATATATATATATATATATATATATATATATATATATATATATATATATATATTTATTTATTTAGATTTTTGTTATATTGGATTAAAATTTGAACCCCACATCAACTTTACACACTTCAGCAAAAACACTGTTTTGTGTTTTAGAACACATGAAAAAGAAGACTGTCAGTCATAAAATAATCAGATTCCATTCACGGATAGAATGGAAAATAAATTATAGGAAGTCCTGCCAAAACAATAACCAACGGGAACACAATTTGCTGTGCAGTGTTAACGTAGAAATACAATAATCACCCTTTTCCGTAAATTTGTTGTTGGGCGCCTGTCACCTAGATTCAGTTTGTTATCCACAGTGGGATCTCCTGCATTCCTCTTGATCACTGCCCTCAGTTCTGAAGTCCATAGGTAATGATTGCCCTTGAAATAATTCTGTAGAGGTAAAACAGCATTCAAAAAAAAAAAAAATCCTTAGAGCACCACAAATTACAACATTAGTTACCTAAACAGAATATCTACAGTTATCTTTACTGAAGTCAGATGTCAAAATAAACCTTAAAAACAGCTAAATTGGAATTATTTGGTAACTCGGTTCAGTTATTGTTGCCATACATTTGAAATACACTTTGCATTCTCACTTTAGTGAATAGCCATGCTAGTGTATCTCCAATATTACTCTATTTTGTGTATGAAACAAGAAAAATAAAATAACCAAAAATATTCACCAAGAACTACATGCTTTTCCTAAAATGGCCAAGCAAGAATATTAAAATGATAGGCCTCGCTCTGTAACCAAAACACAATATTAAGTTAAAGGAAATAAGATTCAGGCTGCTCATTGGTCTGAGGCCACTAAAAAATAAAGGCCCAAGCTGACATCAGTTGAAGCCTGGGCTCCCTCTTGTGAGCTGGGATTTAACCCTACTCGCATCAAAACTACAAACCTACTCGCCATCCTAAAGGCATTAAAACCCACTCTGGAGGACAGCAACAAACCTTCCTATCTTTGGGAAGGGGATAAATCTGAATAGCAAAATTAACAACAAATCTGAACATATTCCAACCTATAGTCACAGCTTTGCCATTTTTGCATCCATTTTGCCATTTGTCGGCAACTTAAAATAATAAAAAGGTTATAAAAAATTATTAAATAGTAAAAAATGCATTATATTTAGGCTCAAAGAGCATGCAATGCTATGGATACTAAAGCTCCATGTTGATTAAGCTTGCAGCTCTGTGGTTATGTCACCACAAATTGGAGATCGTATATGCATTCACAAGTGATCAGATATGCATTGATATATAAATATTAGCCTTCTGTCTGTTTTCCTATATTTTGTGTGTAAGAAAGAATAAGGCCGCCATGGTGTCTAGTTGAGGGTGGGCTGGAACAGGTTGAAGATCCCTTCTCCCCACAGTGTATCCTGTGTGTACCAGGAGTAGATATTAAAAATAATAATCCTTCCTGCATTACAGAACTAGCGGGCATCATTTGTTAAAGTTTGGTCAGAGGCCCCATTTTTCAAGAGGTTGTCAAATGTAATCCAGTTTAAGGAGTGATTTCCATCTCCCTGCCTACCTGAACTGTATAATTAAATGCCCCAAGTGGGCCGTGGTGCTCGGCCACATTTCTTACCAAAGAAACAATTCATACGTATGTTAGCAATCTGATGGACAGCAGGTTCACTTTAAAGCTTACAAACATCTGTCTCCAACCACAGAAATATTCTTAAATTATCCCCATGGGGACAGTGGACTCATTCATACTTTTGAATACCTTCTCTGACACCATGTCTTCATTTTGCAATTTCTTCACTTAATCACATATGCACATACCTTAAATCTACTTGGCATACTGAATGAAACCATTTCTGGGCAAAATATTTTGTATATGGACAGGAGACCAAGAAGAGGTGGGTATGATCCCTTAAAAGAAAGACAAGATACACATCACTATGCAATCGAGTTCATGGCGCAGGGGATAATTAGGCTAAACATGGAAACATCAAATGATGTTAACTATCGAGAATGTTTTACAAGGTGCTCAAACCAACCTTCTTGCTCTGCAGGTCCAAAAGTTTCCGGACTCTGAAAGGTCGTACTGGTAAGAAAGGCAGATTAGCAACCAATTCTTCACAATAAAGACATATACAGTAAATTTTTTACATATGGCAAGGCAATATTCATCCAGATGAAGATGTTCAGTTGGATTCAGATTAAGTTCGGCCAGTGTATAAAGCTACATTTTTAAATCCAGTAAATAACTTAACATTTTGATGAATACATTACACTGAATACTTTTGTGGCCAGTGTTGTATCCAAACTGCAAAAATATTATATTTATTTATTTATATTAAAATGTTGCAAAAACATGGGATTGACAATAAAACAGGTGTGTTTTTTCCCCTGGGAAGAATACACCACTGGGATGCACAAGTAATTCTCATTTCTGATGTCGCCACCTAGTGAGGGCCCAACACTCTGCCTCAGATTAGAAGACGTCACAGTGGAAAGAATTAATCTCTTTATTCTCCTGACTCATATGTCAGACTGTCTACTAAACAAGAATTTACTTCACACAACAAGTGATATGTATTGAAAAGGAAGCAAATATCACTTATTCATGTTTTAGATCCCACATAAAAGCATTTCATCTTGTATCCCCTGTGAAAATACCACTTTGGCTTTTCATGAAAATTAAAAGACCTTGTAGTAAAAGCACAATGACTTTGATAGAAAACTATATCAAAAAAGGTTCGTTTTCTTTTAGATGCTTATTGTTCTGTAAAAAAAATCTGTAGCAAAAGAAAACACTTTATACAACACTTCTTATTTGATAAAATTGAATAAAATGTATTGCAATACAATAATTTTAAGAAACATAGGCAAACTATTTGCTTAAGTTCCCTTTATCAAAAGTATATTATGCTAACAAAACACTGAAACTCCAGCACATAAACTGTTAAGCAAAGACAGAAGGTAGTCTGACCAAACAACCCAGAAGCAGAATAAAACAAACATCTAAGCATACTTACCATGATCCTTTCTAGTGAGAAGATACAACAGGTGACAAAGAAAGGGACACTAGGAAAAAAATAAAAAAATTTGAAATAAGTGTCTGTAAAAAAGTTACAAAAAGGTACAGTTTCAGTGAAGTCACTACAACTCCAGAATTGTTAAGCTTATTTGCTTCCAATTTATATGCTTATTAAAATGATATACCGGTATATAAAATTTAAAGGGTTACTCAAACGACCATGTCAACTTCTGCTTTTAGAAGTGGTCATGGTAATAGGAATACACCTGCAAGGAGAATCCATGTACTTCCCTCACTCTGTGCACAAATTAAGCAAAGAACACCTCACTACCTCCTGGCTCACAGTGCGCGCATGTGCCCTGATTCGGTACAACAGTCCAATCAAACTCTTTTCTATGAGAAGCGTTTATTGGATCATGGAAAACCCTTTATTGCCATATAACAGTTTAATTTTTTGGACAGTCAAAGAGATTAGCTTAATTTTAACTTGTCTTACCAGGAATAAATGAGATTAGCCTCATTTTCAAGAGTTTTGCAAATGTCCTAAAATTTAAAATTACTGCATACTAAAGATTCCAAGACATGGGTCTGGACTAAGTTTAATACAAAATATAAACAAACATCTATTGAACGGTTACATGACTGTGTGATCAGTTGCAAGATAAACAATTAAGAACTTACCAACTTGTCGTCTTGTAGAAAGAAAAAGAAAAAATTGTAGAGGGAAGAAAGCACATCCTTACATGGAATAAGATCAAACACTGTAATAAGCCAACGAATGAACAAGACCTATAACAAGACACATACCAAGATTATAATGGAAATATACACATGTACCTATACACTACAAGGGAAATTTATTTCTATAAGTAGACATTTGAAGAATCATCCACAAAATAAAATTGTCTTTACTGATGATCAACACAATAAATGATTGCTACAGATGTTTATACATTAAAATCAACATAGATGCTAGGGAAATTGTAAAGGTAGGGGCAGTCTAAGCTTCATAACCAGTAAATGCCAATGTAGAGGTCTGTCCTCTGGTTCCTGGTCCAATTGTTTGACCGGAACTGGGGGTACCTGAGGTATCCACTGCATGCCCCCCTACTTGTCATTCTGCTAATTTGAATGTTATGATTCCACATCAGGAATTTCATCCATATTTCACAGCCATTCATTGGCCAAGCAGGTCAGCTGAGGTACCCAGCAAATGAATGGCTTTAAAATATGGATTAAAGTGAAATGTATATCAATTCATAAGTCCAGGCTGTTGGTGCCTTTGGGAACACAGGATCTGTTTAAATTGCTTGAAAACTGTTTGCAGTCTAATAAAACCAATTGTTGTAGTAGTTATGATGCCCAGACTGACCCTTTAACAAATGTATTTTAAAAGTACCTCCTAATATCCCTATTGGCGGAAATTAGGAACATTACTAAATATTGGCCCATTGAGGACATTTTTTTTTAATCATTGAATTAAAGAATTAACAAGAATTTTTAAAAAAAATAGTCTTAACAGAATAAAGGATAAATAACTCAGAAGCATGTTAAAGGTTACCTGAATATTGGATGAACATTTCCCAACACACAGCAGGGATACACCCTTAACAATACTACTTGTTAGGACTTCACTAGCAGGAAGCAGACTCTTCAGCAGTCGTGTATTGACTGTCTCAGCTGTAGAAAGTTAATAAAATGATCTTTATAGCATGCAAACAAGGAATTATATTGGAAATTATTTTTACTTTCTAACTAGGAGTCCACCATTTTCCAAGCTTATAGTGACAAAAAGTCTCAAAAAATTTGTTATTTTTATATATAAAAATAAATAAAAACAACATTTACAATTGTTTAAGCAACCTTTGCTGAACAAGCAAGATAGTACACAGTAAATCATAATTTTGAAAATTTTACAGAATAAAAAGTACATTAAACTAGTGCAGGAGTTTCCAGTCACCAAGGCAAATGATGGTCCAGGTCTTGTCTGTATCCACACTGGACCAGAAACTGGCAAATGCCTAACTCTTGCAATGTTTGTGTGCTTTGAAGACTTAGCTGGGAACCACAGGTTGTCGGTTGAGGGTAAGAATTAAATATTTAAATAATATCAACTGAATTCAAATTTAAGTGACACAAACCGGACCAACCAACAAATAGGCAAGCAGGAAGCTGGGCCATGGATACTTTGCAGCCACTTTGTTTTGGTAAAATCACTTGAAAACAGTTTCACGAAAACCAGGGACAGTGTCAGCATCCCAATAGCACCATACCAACCACAATAGCATGTAGTGGTCACAACTCTTCCTATTTCCCAAGTGGGGGAAAATAAGAAGAAAAAACACAGACCTATCACCATAGTTAAGAAACTTTTCACTTAGCCACACTAGAGGATGAGACATTTCATAAGATATTACTCAAGCAAACATAATTTACAAAATTATTTTTACCAAGCTTGCCACTTAGAGCAATATCAAGCAAAATTTCGATGCCATCTGGTGAAATTCCATACTGCAGGCCAAGAACTTCTACTGCAGAAAGGTGCTTAGAAAGTGTGCTGTCCTTCGAGGAGACACTCCTGTCAACTAAAAATAATAAATATGAATAGATCACTTTTGAGAGATATAGATCCAAAATCACATTATGGGTTACATAGACATACCACTTTTAAAGTACTTAATGGCCTCTTTTAAGTGCTCAATGCCAAGGTCTTGTCTTCCTAGTGTTCTTCTTTGTTGTCTGGGTCTACCTTCTTGTGCCTCCATTTCCAGTTCGCATCTACTCTCCAACGCTGCAGCAACATTGATTGATCCACCGGCTATAAAACACACCAAACTCCTAAACACACATTTAAAAAATTTTTTTGAATAGAATTATATTAATAACCAATTCAAATATATTTAAAACAAGTGCAACAAATTCTTGGCATAATGACAGCAAAACAGTTCTACCTTATTCTCCTAGTTTCACAAAATGCCAATAAAAACTAAGTGTTAGGTGACTATTTCAAATTCTCACCCCACATTGTTATCCATGTTGGTGTGATATTTATAATCACCCTCACGGTTTTGAGGAACAGAAGAGTTTGCATCTTGATACCAGTCAGAGATATATGCTCTGTGCATAATAGGTCTGGAAGCACAAGGGCAGATTATTGCAAACAGAGCTAAGGAGTTGGTACAAAAAAAACACATTACTAGAATAATAATTCCATGTAGAATGTAATGCAACAAATGTGTTGAATAATCTTTATTCTATCAAAAGTTATAGCTAAGCAGCCAGAACAAAGGACACAGCCTTACTGACCAATGACACTGATTGTTTTAAGGTTCAATCAGGTATTGTTATAACAGAGCATGGAACACATAAGATGTTAGTATGAGAGCTAATAACGGGAATCATTCAGTAGTGAGTGTCAAAATGACAGCCACTAAAGGAACTTTGATGAAAGAATAAAACTCTGCTATTTCAGTCAGGGGGGTAGTGTTTTGCCAGGCATGTGGACTAGCCTCCCAATGCTTTCCTAAAGCAATGAATTTGCATAAATAATCAACACTGAGGATCTCAGCCAAAGAAGCAGAGCTTCACGCTGTTTGGAGAAAATGTAAATATCTTTTTATTTTTAACCATGGTGGCACTAGACCAGTCACCTTAAGGGTTACTAACAACCTATAGCAGGGATAGGCAACGTTCGGCACTCCAGATGTTGTTTACTACATCCCCCATAATGCTGGCAAAGTGTAGTCCAAAACATCTGGAGTGCCGAAGGTTGCCTATGCCTGCACTATAGCATTAGGTATACATATTTAAAAAAAAAAAACAAAAAAAAAAAACACAGACATGTTATGAGCCACTAAACCTCAGAAAATAGGTTTCTGAAAAAGGTTTCCACAATTTTGGCCACTACTATCATAATTATAATAAAATGTATTGTATATATGGATGTACAAGACTAATATGCCGTACAAGAAGTTGTTGATGCATGGCCGGGATTAAAAGAAGTCCCTGGCCTAATGTTTTATTGATACATTTATGGCTTTTAGCCATCTATTACACTTATCACTTACAACTTCTTTTCAAAAGAAATATTATTTCTGGAGCTCTTACCATCACATTTATCACTTGACCAAGTTTGCTTAGGAACCATTATTTATTCTTTATATAGCCGGGCTGGATGGAGAGGAAGGGGTTAAACTTACCTCTTTCTCCAGAGCCGGGCGGGGAGCTCTCCTCCTCCTCCTGAATGCGCATGCGCAGCAGGAGCCGCGCACACATTCAGCCAGTCCATAGGAAAGCATTCAAAATGCTTTCCTATGGACGCTTGCGTCTTCTCACTGTGAAAATCACAGTGAGAAGCGCCTCTAGCGGCTGTCAATGAGACAGCCACTAGAAGCTGGATTAACCCATTTATAAACATAGCAGTTTCTCTGAAACTATGTTTATAAAAAAAAAAAAGGGTTAATCCTAGCTGGACCAGGTACCCAGACCACCTCATTAAGCTGAAGTGGTCTGGGTGCCTATAGTGTAGCTATTAATGTAGCTTGTACACGCATGGTTAATCTTTCATAGACTATTACATGAAGTGTCACAGGTGCTGGATCAAAGCCCACAGGCAGCATTCTGCATTCTAATTGTATTATATTTTTTTAATCATATATTCCTCTTACTCTCATTCTTATGATTATCAGCCAAGTTTGTAAAGTGCAATCATATCTCCCAGCAGCCCAAGATTTAGCAGAACAATTGCAAATATGAGTTTCTGTCCACTCCATTCCAGGTTGGTCCTCCGTTTTACTTCTGTGAAAACCAGAGAAATACATCCCTAAAAAGTGTATCACAACATTGGATACACTAACACAGGACATACTGCATTTATCTTACACCAAGGCACTTCAACAGCACTTTGCACATAGATTATCCTGAGAAAGGCTAATAAACACAGCTGCAAAACATGCAAACCAATCTGAGACATCCTCTTATTGGGACCCACCCCTTTCCTAGCATCACCTGCAAGCCCACACATATAGGTCTCTCATTCATTGGAGGGATGGATGTACTAACTAGAGCAGGCTTCCCCAAACTCCGGCTCTCCAGATGTTGGTGAACTACAACTCCCATGACTCTATGAATGAAATATATAGGCTGAGAATCATGGGAGTTGTAGTTCACCAACATCTGGAGAGCCGGAGTTTGGGGAAGCCTGAACTAGAGGTTTGGATCAAAGGATACATGCAGTACCGATAGCCAGGCACCGAGTTATTACACCCCCCGTTTAATATGTGGTCTGGGAGCTCCAGAAAGCAGTACACCAGCTATTGTTTTTAGGCGGCCATGAAGTCACACTCACAATAGGAATAAGTACCCCACAGCTCTCTTTATCAAAGGAGGTCTTTACCAATCAGGCCACCGAGAAAAGGTTTTGTTTATTACCGAAATGGACTAGTGACTTCCAGACAAGACAGGTCAATATTCCCTCACTGTATCTTCATCCCTTCCTAACAGCCCCTGCCAGCCCCCCCCCACACGGGTCTCTCAGCACTGGGAGGTATTTACGTAGCTGCGATAAAACCCGAAGGCGAATACAATGTCCCCCGATAAAGCATTGCATTACACAGATTATATGGCGGTGCTAAGCTCTCCGTACTCGCAGCCGCCTGTATATAAACCCGCTATGGGCTACAGCAGCCGGGTATCTGGCAAAGCACCATGGGAGTTGTAGTGCTATAGCAGCTGAGAGTCTGTTTTGGCCTCAGTCACAGGGTTTGTACAGACTGTCCCGGCAGTCCCTATATACCGCCCGGTAGCAGGGTCCGGGGGGGGGAGTTGGTAAGGCCAGCCCCAGCACTGGGAATATACCGTAACTTACCGGAGAGCAGAGCACGGCGGGAAATGGAAATATGAAATTGTCTAACTCCGCCCTTCTTACGTCATCAACAAGCGTCAGTACGGGGCGCTGCAGGGCTCAAGCTTGGCAATGCTTTCTTTAACGCTGCATGCAAATCAAACACTAGAATGGCTGAGACCATCCGCCCTGTATTCCTAAATCAGAGGGAGGACTGACTCTGCGGCCCTTAATATTAGATCTATATCTGTATGTATGTAACATCTATGGGAAAATAACATTGGTAATTATACAAACGGGATAAATATTTAGACACACTGAACACAGACTGCTTAATACACACACACTGCTCACAGACTGCTTAATACACACACACTGCTTAATACACAAACACAGACTGCTTAATACACAGACACAGACTGCTTAATACACAGACACAGACTGCTTAATACACACACACAGACTGCTTAATACATAAACACAGACTGCTTAATACACAAACACAGACTGCTTAATACACAAACACAGACTGCTTAATACACAGACTGCTTAATACACAGACACAGACTGCTTAATACACAAACACAGACTGCTTAATACACAGACTGCTTAATACACAGACACAGACTGCTTAATACATAAACACAGACTGCTTAATACATAAACACAGACTGCTTAATACACAAACACAGACTGCTTAATACACAAACACAGACTGCTTAATACACAGACTGCTTAATACAGACACAGACTGCTTAATACATAAACACACACTGCTTAATACACAGACTGCTTAATACACAAACAGAGAGACTGCTGAATACATACACACACTGCTTAATACACACACACAGACTGCTTAAAGGACCACTACAGTGCCAGGAAAATAACATTGGTAATTATACAAACGGGATAAATATTTAGACACACTGAACACAGACTGCTTAATACACACACACTGCTCACAGACTGCTTAATACACACACACTGCTTAATGCACAGACACAGACTGCTTAATACACAAACACAGACTGCTTAATACACAAACACAGACTGCTTAATACACAAACACAGACTGCTTAATACACAGACACAGACTGCTTAATACAGACACAGACTGCTTAATACACACACACAGACTGCTTAATACACACACACAGACTGCTTAATACATAAACACAGACTGCTTAATACACAAACACAGACTGCTTAATACACAGACACAGACTGCTTAATACAGACACAGACTGCTTAATACATAAACACACACTGCTTAATACACAGACTGCTTAATACACACACAGAGAGACTGCTGAATACATACACACACTGCTTAATACACACACACAGACTGCTTAAAGGACCACTATAGTGCCAGGAAAACATACTCGTTTTCCTGGCACTATAGTTCCCTGAGGGTGCCCCCACCCTCAGGGTCCCCCTCCTGCCCGGCTCTGGAAGGGGGAAAGGGGTAAAAACTTACCTTTTTCCAGCGCTGGGCGGAGAGCTCTCCTCCTCCTCTCCGCCTCCGTTACGCCCCGCCGGCTGAATGCGCACGCGCGGCAAGAGCTGCGCGCGCATTCAGCCGGTCTCATAGGAAAGCATTTACAATGCTTTCCTATGAACGCTGGCGTGCTCTCACTGTGAAAATCACAGTGAGAAGCACGCAAGCGCCTCTAGTGGCTGTCAATGAGACAGCCACTAGAGAATTAGGGGGAAGGCTTAACCCATTCATAATTATAGCAGTTTCTCTGAAACTGCTATAATTATGAAAAAATGGGTTAACCCTAGAAGGACCTGGCACCCAGACCACTTCATTAAGCTGAAGTGGTCTGGGTGCCTAGAGTGGTCCTTTAATACACAAACACAGACTGCTTAATACACACACAGAGAGACTGCTGAATACATAAACACACACTGCTTAATACACAAACACAGACTGCTTAATACACAAACACAGACTGCTTAATACACAGACTGCTTAATACACAGACTGCTTAATACACACACACAGACTGCTTAATACACACACTGCTGACTGCCGAATATACACAAACAGACTGCTGAACACACACACTTCCTAACTCTGCCCTCTTCACACAGCCAAGCACCAAGGAACCTTGCATGGCCTGAGAACACTACACACCCTGGTGGCCGGTGCCGGTATTACAGAACATGCTACTCAGAAAAATGCAGCCACTTGCATAGTCAGTATATTTGCAATACCGGTGTTCCTAATTGATGAGAACCGGAATCCCTGGATGTTGGAAGTGAATCTGTCACCGTCTCTGGTTTCTAATGGACCCCTTCATTTAAAAATCAAGGCAAATCTGCTTTCAGACACTCTTAAGTTAATTGGTGTTTAGTGTCATAATAACCAGCAGAACAAGGACAAAGCAGGCCCTACAACATCTACAAAAGTGATGAAAGCAGGACAGACCAAACCCTCCCCCTTCCAAGAGAGGATGAATATCATTCAGGAGGTCAAGGAGGAGAAAAAGAGGAGAGGTGGTTTCGTCCAAATCTTCCCCCATAAGGACAGATGGAAGAAATATGGCTGTTTATTGACATACAAAGCCTTCAATATTATGCTGGCTTGTGATCTTTTTACAGAGAAACTGTCGGAGCCAGAATCAACCAGTGGTGTACTGGGGCAAAACTTGGCGCTGTATGAGCGAAAGCTGCCACCTTTGCAAACAACTAAGCTTGTGGATGAGGAGAAGGCACTCAAGCCAGTCAGTCCATCCGATTGTAGAAAAGACTGTGCACAGAAATCGAGTCTTAAGTCCAAGGCAGATTTATTACAGAAAAGGATGAAGCATTTTTTTTCTCTTTCTAAATATAATTTAGGATGATTTGATTGAAGGGAGTGGAACAGAAGGATATATAAAATAATCTTCCAGAGCTTCTCAGTTCAGAAACTGGGCCCCCATCGAATCTCTGGAGCAGGGGTCCTCAAACTCCTGCCCCCCAGATGTTGCTGAACTACAACTCCCATGATTCTTTGAATTACATAGATAGCCAGAGAATCATGGGAGTTGTAGTTCAGCAACATCTGAAGGGGCCGGAGTTTGAGGACCCCTGCTCTGGAGCATCTTAACCTGCTAAGCCTGGTAAGACCCTAGTAGTAGCATGTCTAACATTCGGTTACCCAGAGACAGATTTTAACCTGTGCTGACCCTGACCTAAGCTCTTAAAGTCGAACGGTCACCTCCCTGGTATTTTACTATTATCTTTACCTATTCCCTGTATTTCACAAATATGTGCTTGTATGAGAAATAAAATTAAATATAGAATTAAACACTACTATGTAACAGGGTCAGTGTTATTGATACATTGGAGATTTTATACATTTATAAATAAAGACTTGGAGTTCCTTTTTATCTTAGATTGTGACTGTCACGGTGGTCCATATTTTAAGGAAAAAAGATATGTATTGGGATCTAAGTCTAAAGCTAGGAAATAGATTAGTGGTTGCCACTATTTTCTTTCTTTTTCTTTAGCCAAGAAGAAGCAAGAGGAGGATGACGGTGAAATGAGATAACTAAAAAGCTCAGCTGCAGATGCCCAGATGGACATCTCCCATCAAACATCACCCTTTTAAACTAAACGTCTACCAAAGTTGAGAATCGTTGATTTGGATTATTAGTAATTCATCACCGTGTATTAGTAATGTGTGGCTTTATTCCTTGTGAGCATTATCGTTTAATAAAATGTCTTTGCCGATATTTTTCTAGTGTGTGTGTATATATCTGTAGTCTGTATCATTGCTTTTAAATAGCTGGACATTCAGATATAAAATATGCATTTGAATTTAAGTGTTTAAATAGAAGTCAAATATAAATCATATATTACGCCCTATTTTAGGCAGCTCTAAACGCCGCCGGGCGTAATAGTACGCCCTCCGGTTTTTTCCTACTTACCCGGTCGCCGGCGATCCCACCCCGGCCATCGCGGTTGGGGGGACTCCCAGGGAGCCCCCCGCAGCGGATCCTGCCTCCTCAGCCCCCCCCCTGCCATGTGAGAGTGAGGTCCTTGCGAGGACCTCACAATCACATGGCCGGGATAGCTGGCTGCAGCATTGCCAGCAGGGGGGCTGCCTGTAATGACAGGTAGTCCCCCTGCTGGCTGGAAATAAATTAAAAAGAAATTCATAAAGTGTAAAAAAAAAAATACTTAGATCATATATATATATTATACATATATATATATATATGATCTAAGTATATATATACACATACACACACACATACACTGTCTAGGTGCAGGGGCGGACATGGTCCGAGGGCCCGGCCGGGAGGGGGGCCCGCTGCCAGGGCCGCCTTCAGGGGGCCCGGAGGCAGGGCTGGATTGGGGGCGGCATCTGGGGACTTCAGAGGAAGGTGCCACCGGGTGGCCAGTCCGGTGGCACACTGTGAGGGGGCCGGCCACGTTTCATGCTGGAGCCGCCGGACCGGGTGGCAGCCTCGCCGGTCCGGCGGCATTCCTCTCACTAACGCTGAAGGAGGAGGAGCATGTCTCTCTATCATGCTCCTTTGCGGTTCCCACATCCTGTGCTGGGAATTGTGGGAACCGCAGGGAGCATGACAGAGAGACTTGCTCCTCCTCCTTCAGCGTTAGTGAGAGGAATGCCGCCGGACCGGCGAGGCTGCCACCCGGTCCGGCGGCTCCAGCATGAAATGCGGCCGGCCCCCTCAGACTTGAGTAAGAGGGGGCAATAGAGAGATGGGGGAGGGAGGAGTTATAGGGGCAATAGAGATAATGTGGGAGGGGAGAGGAAAGAGGGGGAAGTAAATAGAGAGATGGGGAGGGGGGAGAAAGAGGGGGGAACAGAGATTTGGGGAGGGGTGAGAAAGAGGGGGGGGAACAGAGAGATGGGGAGGGGAGAAAGGGGGGGCAATAAAGAGATGGGGAGAAAGAGAGGGAAGAATGAGACACAGGGGGAGACAGAGAGGGAAGAATGAGACACGGGGAATAGAGAGATGGGGAGGGGGAGAATGAGACACAGGGGGAATAGAGAGATGGGGAGGGGGGAGACAGAGAGGGAAGAATGAGACACGGGGAGAAAGAGGGGAAATAGAGAGATAGGGAGGGGGAGAAAGAGACAGAGAGGGAAGAATGAGACACAGGGGGAGAAAGAGGGGGAATAGAGAGATAGGGAGGGGGAGAAAGAGACAGAGAGGGAAGAATGAGACACGGGGAGAAAGAGATGGGGAGGGGGAGAAAGAGACAGAGAGGAAGAGAGATGTGGGGTAGAGAGAGACAGGGAAAGGGAGGAGAAAAACAGTGGAAGAGAGGGAGAAAGAGGCAGAGGGGTAAGAGAGACTGGGAAGGAGGGGGGAGAAAGAAACATACAGAGGGACGGGGGGAGACAAAAAGGCACACAGAAGGGCTGTATATATCACTGGTGGATCCAGGGGGGCAACAGGGCAATTGCCCCCCCTCCCCTGTCCGCAGGCACCGTGCGGGCAGGGGAGGAAGGAAGAGAGGACCTGGGAGCTCACCCTGCAGCTCCTCTGGGTCCTTCTTGCACGAGCACAGAGCGTTGCCGCGATTACCATGGCAACGTTACCGCTCTTGCGAGAGTCAACTCTAGCCCTGGAGCTACGGTCTAGTGTTCACTCTCAACACTGTGACCCCCAGGGATTCCTGGTGGTCGCAGTGGTGAGAGTGAACTCTAGCCCCATAAACACACTGCCCCCACACACACACCATACACATTCACACACTGCCCCCATACACACCATACACATTTACACACATTGCCTCACACACACACATACACTGCCCACCCATATACACACAGACCCCCATACACAGCCCCCATACTAACATTGCCACACACATACACAGCCCACACACCCTACACATTCACACACTACACCCCCACACACACACTGAACCTTTCACACACATTGCACCACTGCTCCTATTCCCTACTACAGCCCCATAACCCAGCAGATTCCAGGTAAGTTGTCAAATTGTTCTTAAATGGTTTGACTACTTACTCTGGAGCAGTAGTGGTTATTGTGCATGGATTATTTCTTTAAATAATCTACAAGTGCCCCAGTAGCCAGCCAGCCAACCCACAGGCTGGCCAGTAGCCAGCCAGTTAGCCAGCCCACAGGCCAGTAGCCAGCCAGTTAGCCAGCCCACAGGCCAGTAGCCAGCCCACAGGCCTACAGCAAGCCACAGGCTTACAGCCAGCAAGCCACAGCCTGCCAGCCGCAGTCAGCAAGCCCACAGCCTGCCGGCAGTAGCCAGCAAGCCCACAGCCTGCCGGCAGTAGCCAGCAAGCCCACAGCCTGCCAGCCGCAGCAAGCAAGCCCACAGACTGCCAGCCAGCAACAGTAATTAAGGTAAGAGGAGCCAACTTGGCCTAGGTATCAGTGAGCTATGTTGTGTTGCTATATTGTGAATAGGAACCAGAGTGTTGGAGAGACCACCCTCCAGGCCCCATTAGACTCCATTGTAGTCTCTAATGGGGCCTGGAGGAGATTCTTTCTAACACACTCTCTAAAGGACACTGAGATAGCCTCCGCTAGAAAGACCCCCTCCATGGCCCATTAGCCCTCAATTGTAGTCTCTGCTGGGGCCTCGAAGGGCTTATTGCCCTTTTGTTCCTTGTGTCTAAAGATTGTGTAGGGTGTGGCTGGAGGCGGTGCATGGAGGCGGGACAAGGGTGGCGCTTGCTGCAGAGTATGGGTGGGGCCTGTAAGGGGGCCCTTGATTTATTTTGCCCGGGGGCCCTGAGGGTTCTCAGTCCGCCCCTGTCTAGGTGTATTTTACTATTAATATATATATAATTATATATATATTAATATCAAATTACACGTAGTCTGATACTGATTAAATATATATATAATTATTGTTATTTTATATATAATAAAAAAAAATTATGTAAATTCGTTAAAAAATAAAATTAAAAAAATAATTTAATAATTAAAAAATATATAGATGTGTGTTATTTCGTTCTAACTGTATTGTGATATTAATATATATATATTTTTTTTTTTTTTAAAGTAGAACGAAATAATATATATATCTATATACATAAATAAAAAAGAAATAAACTTGGCACTCACCCTTTGATGCAAATATATAGAAGAAATCTTGCCTGGGTGCAAACCTCAGCGTTGTAGATACAAAATATGCAAATAAGGTGCACTCACAGGTCTTAAAAAGTGCTTAATTTATTTCAGTTGCAAATTACATGTGCAAAAACAATCTTCCAGTGATCGACGTTTTGACCCCTATAGGGCCTTTTTCAAGATCAATAATAACCTATAACAAGTGAATATATATAGATAAATATTGATAAACACTTACCAGAAATGTGTGTGTAAGAAAATCCTTGACCGTTCGAAACCCGGAAGTGGGACAGTGTAACCACGTGACCAACGTGATGACGCGTAAAATTACGATGTTGCTAAGCAGCGAAAGTAAACAAATCGTGCATAAGTATTGCCCGGTCTGCCAAAGTGTAGAGAAGTGACTAAGAAGTGAAACGATCACTAAATATAGTGATCAAGATAGTATACAATCTATGGAGGGCAAAATAAAGATCTCCTAATATTGCACACACATATTATAGAGGACCACAATGTATGGGGATGTGAAACAAACCGTGTAAACTACGTGAAACACTTCTGTCCTGAATATAGCAATGTATTATCCGATTATTAGTTAGCTCCCTTGCATATTAGTTAAAAGCTGGGTTATTGAATAATCCCCATTTACCCACTATATATAAGAGGTTTATCATATCTTTATAGTTATAACCTTATTGGGGTAACTGTTTTTGCATTTCATTATCTGCATATTGTTTTAGTAGGATGCATGGTGGTTACATAATCTATCAATGTATTTGTTTGTTTTTTTCTGTGTGACTGGCAAAGATCAGCATGTATACACAGGAAGATTAATACTTAATTGTACTATAATTTTTTTTGCCACACACTCTTAGGAGGAGCACATATGTTGGTCACATTTGCATGTATGTGCAGTCACTTTAAGTGTTTCACGTAGCTTACACGGTATGATGATGTTGATGTCATGACTGAGGTCATGTAAGGCTTTAATCTCACCCGGAGTTAGATTTGAATGGTATGTCATGACATCAACATCGTCATACACTCTGCCGATAAGGGCGGTGCCACTGTGATTCAATCCTATCAAGACTATCGGAATGAAATACTACGACAACTTAATGACCATACTACATATATGAGACTCACGTTTGACCCCGTGAAAAAATTTCAAACCAGAATCAAGAACCAGATTGACTTGGGCATTCTTAGTGGTTTCTTGGATGAGAAAATAGCTCAATTTTTGTTTGTTGAATACCTGAGACACCCGGTACTATATACTCTGCCCAAGATCCACAAGGACCCTATCACCCCACCAGGAAGACCCATTGTGTCGGCCAATGATAGTTTACTGGAACCAGTGGTTAAATATGTCGATTTTTTTATTTAAAAAAGTGTAGTGGCACTCCCCACTTGTCTACGGGACACACGGGACTTCATTCATAAAATAAAGTTAACACCTACGATTGACGAATCGTCAATACTTGTCACTTTAGACGTACAGAGCCTGTATACCATCATACCCCACCAAGAGGGGCTACAGGCTCTCAGAACGGTTCTGAGTGAATCCACAGTATACACAGGACCTCCCATTGAATTCTTACAGGAATTCCTACATATTGCCTTGACTTGTAATTGTT